GTATATTTTCCTTAGATGTTCGTATAATTCTTTCCGGACCGGTGTATTTCTCGGTGCGGCTTCTTTTCGATTTTTTAGTGAGTTAGTATCGGCTTCACATGTCATGCACCTTAGACAGAGATAGGAAAGGGGCTTTACCTGCTTCGGGTCACCGTAAAGCCCCTTTCGCATCTCTGTCTCTGGTGCATGACATGTGAAGATGATAGTACAAGCTTTAATTACTTTATATGTTGTTATTCTAATTGGGGAGCCCATTGTTCTTATTTTTGTACTCATATTAGGGCTGCCCAACAAATTGCATGCGTTAATTTATTAAAACGCTTGAATCTACTAAAACTATATTGGATTTAAGCGTTTATGAATAAAAAATCAACCCAGATTGATTATTATTAATACATTCAATAAACATTTCAATTTATTTCGTAACCTGATCTTATCTGTTATAAACAAACTTACATAGAACACATGAATAAAATAAAATGATACAACAAAATTTTGTTTGAACACTTATAATAATTAATCGATTTAATATAAATATCAATAAGTAATAAGTATTTTCGCATTAAAACCCGTTGACGTTTTAAGATGTAAATTTTTAATTTATAGAGATAAAATTGAATGATAATAAAGTAAAAAAAAATATCCACGCCCTAAAAGAATGACGATTTTTTTTATTGACGACAACAATTAATATTATAAACTTGATTTAATCATCCGTAATATAAATTCATCTAATCAGTAAACATACAATGTTATATCGGTTTGTTATATAGTTAGAGTTTATGTTTGTTATAAACTCGAGATTACGATAGAAAAATGTGACCTTAAAATGGAATAAACTGTACGATGACTAATTTGGCGTTATTTAATGCGTATTTGTACGTTTCTTATTCCCCCACATCTGCGATTCTGATTAAGTGTTGAAACAATTCGAACAAACATTTTATTAGTTTACTTCTAACCGATATACTCAGGGAAAGTCCCGCGTTATTTCATTAATACACTACGTGTTATTTTATATCAGCTTTCATTGACCTTTGGAATTTTTACACCTTTTTTTTGTGATACATATTTTTTTTTTGTATAGTGTTCGTTTCTTTTATAAAAGTGCACTATTTTTGAATCATTCTATATACTTTGGTGTTATATATGGAAATAAATGGTTACCATGCGGAAAGTCTACTCGTAGAATTATTTTTTTACAAGCGACGGCAACCAAGTGTATAGTTTTATACACGGCTATATTGTTGCCATACAATTAGTTACAGTTCTAATACTATTAAGTTTAATATGTGCGCACAAATTTATAATTTAATTTTTTTTCCTTTAAAATTTTTTCACAAATTAACCCATTTGCATCGTAGGCTCAGAAATACACCGATTTTTTCTTGCCATTATCATTGACACGCTTTCCATAGGGAGCGAAATATATATAGTATTATGTACACAATTCTTACTACTTTTAAGTTTCGGAAACTTTTTAGTTCTAGTATTAGTTTTAGTTTAATAAAAGTGTACAAGAATTTAGCCCTAAATAACAACTAAAACTAGAACTAACACACAACCATAGTTTTGGCTTTCACGGATTCTTAACGCTTCGTCTTCAAACATCTCCATGTAAAATTTGGCGTTTACCAGTGACGAAGGTGATCCCATGGCTGCCCTTGACGTTACACCCAGCATCGTTATTTGCGTTACTTTGAGCTTCATGGCAGTGGCAGCCATCAATGATATACACTGATTGAAAGCCTTTCTGTCCAAGTGAGAGTAAATCATCTATTCAGTTCGGTTTATTATTTCTCGATACGCGAATTTCATAACCAAGATATAATATGTATATGGCATTAGAATATACTCGGGTAAATGAAGGTTCTACATCAAAACTTACAGGATATCCTGGGGATCTAACTTCATACTTTTGATTGTTTCCACAAAATGCATAGAATCTGTGACAAATGATTTTGTTTTACTTGTAAAATGAGAAAGAATCTTGACTAGGAGCTTCGCCAACTGGTATGTTGGTGAATTTATGGCACTGACAATATCTGGTTTATGGATTTTAGGTAATTCATAAAATCTTAGTGTTATTGGGTCCTGCTAAACTTCTCTGTTATTCGGCTAGAATTTCTGGCCAGATCCAAAAAGCTCGATATTTTTTCATCGTATTCTTTCCTGTCATGACCACGTTGTCATTTCCTCTATCTGCTGATAGCACGATGATGTCTGTTTTATCTCTGACTATCCGCGAATGTATTATAATTTATTCACTTATGTGCTTATACTGGTAATTTCATATAACTCGTAATATGTATATGAATGCTGTAACCATAGCTACGAACCTACTATGCACTTGCACTATCCTACATAAAATGCAACATAGCTTAATAGTACAGGCATTGGGTAGTTTTGCAAAGGAAAAGGTGACGTCCTTATGATAACTCTGAGTTTCCGTCTTAAGAGACGCACGGCTAAACCCGAATGTTTCTGGTACTAGGTCTAGTTTAGTTCTACTTTTCGTTCAATAAAAATAGACAACAATTTAGCTCTAATAACAATTAAAACTAGAACTAACACTAGACCTAGAATTAGATTGTATCGAAACTTTCTAGTTCTAGTGTTAGTTCTAGTTTTACACTAGCGCTATCACTAAAACTAATACTAGATATAATAATAATAATAATAATAATAAATAAATTTATTGCCATAATAAGAAACAAAAAATACAAATTAAAGAAAATGTATACATTTAACTTAATACATAAATACGGGCAAAAACCCAATCAATCAGCAGTATACTAAGTTATATAGAAAAACAATAAATGAACGGCAAGCTGCTATGCTAAACTTATGGTCACCAAAAACGGTGCATAATGATAGTTGCTGGAATAAAAGAAGAAGAGAAGAGAAGAAAAGTANGTTGTGAGGGCAGGATGGTCAAATTTAATGAGGAAGTAATGAAGCGAAGTTTGTCACTCCGTAAGTCATTTTTTAGCAAACAAGTATTGAAATCTCCCATCAGAAGAATAGTGTTATAATTAAAAGAGTGCCTCTCAAGGGTTTCCTCCAATTGATCAAAGTAGTTAACAAGAGGAGGACAGTAAAAAACGCCAAGTAATAACTTGTTGTAGGAACTTTTCAGTTCCACAAGCATAAATTCAGCCCCCTGAACTGACCCATCGGAGGATTCGACAATCGTAGCACTCAGGCTATATATAGGAGAGAGGGTTTAAGCCATGTTTCACTGACCATAATAATATCAAAAATATTAGATTCGAATGTGGTCAAGAAATCATCGAAGTGGGCAGAAATACTTTGCACATTAATATGACACACGGAGATAAAGTTTGTTAATCCGTTAAACAAATCAGCTGAAGGTATCCCATCATAAGTACTAAAGTCGTTTACATCAGCCTCACACGTACGATCGAGAACAGAATCAAAAGTGGAGAGAAGAGAAGAATCAAGAGAAGAGTTACAAGAATAGAAAGAATGAGAAGTAGAATCAGATGAGCAACCAGCATCAGCATCCATTTTTACTTGAATTGACCTTCAAACGCAAAAAAAAGAAAATAAAAATAATTAACACCAATGACTAAATTTAATCAACCGAATAACATTACAGTGCCAGCCGTGCAACGAAAAACCGGGCGATTACTATAAAATAATGGAGCAAAAACGAAAAGAAAATAACAATAACAATTTTCTTGTAGTTGAATCACAAAAAAAAGAAAAGGAAAAATATATATGTATGTACTTCTAATTTACTATTAAGCTAACAGACCCGAGACGACATCGCCACGTATCACTCAACCGCTGCACGACTCCTAGTAGTCACACCGCGACGAGGCTGAGGACGAGGACATTCTTCCAGATCAGAAAAGCAGCGTATTACCTTCTTCTTATCCTTCGCCAACGCAACGTATATTCGTCCATCTGAGGTCCAAGTATTTTCAGGTCCCATTAAGGCTTTAGCTTTGAGGTAGAGCCGAAGACGACGGAGACGATTGAGTTCTATACCTAGAACTAGCCGTCTTTAGAGACGTGCGGCTAAACCCGAATGATTCTAGTTCTAGGTATAGTGTTAGTTCTAGTTTTACACTTACACTGTAACTACAATTAACATTAGACCTAGAACGAGAAACATTCGGGTTTAGCCGTGCATCTCATAAGACGGCTAAAGCCGCATGTCTGTAAAGACGGCTAAACTCGAATGATTCTAGTTCTAGTGTTAGTTGTAGTTTTACACTAGCACTTTCACTAGAACTAACATTAGACCTAGAACTAGAAACATTCGGGTTTAGCCATGGGTCTCATAAGACGGTTAACGCCAAATGATTCTAGTTCTTGGTCTAGTGTTAGTTCTACTTTTAGTTCAATAAAAATATACAACAATAAGTAATATAAAAAAAGCACTTTGACATTTTTTTAAATGATACAATTGAGTTAAAATAAGTTTTACAAACGTGCTATATTTTAAAAACAAAATCCTAAAATGGTTTTGTTTGGTTTCTTTTATATGGTTTCTTATTTCCTTTGTTAATAATAATAAAATGGAAAAAAAAGTTGTGAAACATAAAATTGTTTCTTTTAAAAACACGCAACAGTTATTTCGTTTAATATGTATACGTCGAAAGTATGTAAGAAAAAAAAGCGATTAGCGTATGTTGTCGTTTGTATAACTATCGATCTTGACGATGCAATTTATTTTTACAGTTCATTTGTTGCGTTCCATAAATTCACACAACAAACCGTAAACTATATAAAACTGGTTCAACTTATAAACGAAGCGGTTCAGCCAAATTACAAGGCTACCGTAATATCAATACTTTCACTCGCATTTAATAAACTAACATGCAACATTTTAGATAACCTTCCATTAAAAGGATTTTAGCATACTCGAAAATATTCAAAACCTTGATCCTTATTTATTTTTTTTTATTATTAAGACATTCCTAAATCTCTTTTTTTTATAATTAATTTATAATTAATTCGTTTTTTAGATTACACGAAGAAATCCAACATTTTTGTGAATATATGTCTCCATCTGAAGTCGAACATCGAATTAGAGGCGATGTTATACATCGGATAGAAAAAATCATCCAGTCTTTATGGCCGGAAGCTAAAGTCCAGGTTTTTGGATCCTACAGAACCAACCTTTACTTACCCACTAGTGATATAGATTTAGTAGTTATTGGTAAGTTATTAGTATTTCTTTAAATTTAAATTTAATCAGTTATTACTAAACTAATTTGTGAATTTTAAGATATTACCGTTTTTTGTAATTTATTGGATTGTTTTAGGTAATTTTATAAATCATAATAAAAACAGGTTGTTTCAAAAGCGATGTGCCAAATGAAAACCATAATCAACAATTCACCAATTACATTACTTTTTGCAATATTTGGTAGGGATAATCTTCTGGTTTCTGAAGAGTTTAGTTATATTAAGTATTAATTTTGTTTGGCTCAATTCCATGCGACTTCTTTCACAATACTTTTTAAAACTTTTATTTACATAGGTTACGTCAGGAATCTAAAAGAAAATAAAATTGTCTTTACACTATAAAACAAATTTAAGTAATATCTATAATAATAGTTCTCTTAATGTACTACAGAAGGCAAAACAATACTAAATATCTAACTGCAAAACATAAAATTGGTGAGGTACAGAAGAATGGAGTTTATTGTTTGAGCTATTTCACTTTTAGTGCTAGATATGTGGAAGAGTTTGTTGTAGCCATAGACATCAGAATCAAACAACACNCAAACTGTTTTTGTCGGGAGGATTGCTATCGCCTAAATAAGACTCGGTTGGTAGTACTTTTTTCCCATATTTAGTCATTTGTGTCGTAGATTGGTAACGCTAACGACTTTCTTTGAAATTTGAACTGATTTTGACAATAATAACAATTGTATAAATTGTGCAATTAGCATTTTAATAAATTTAATATCGATAAATGTTTAATTTGTACGATACTAGTAGCAGCAACGAGTACTAAAACGAATTTTTAGTTAATGTTTTTAGGTAAAAGAAAAAGAAATTAAAGAACGTAATAACCACATGGCGCAGTGAGATGAAACGGATTTTTTTAGACGGCTGCGGTTAACCAAAAAAAGTTAAGAAAGAAAGAATTAAAAAGAATTAATAGTTAAGATTAAACATGCATTTCTCATAAACAGAGTTAAACACATATATAGTAAANGTTAGAAATAATAATGTTATTATAATTGTATAATAAAATTAAAAATATGTTAACCAAGCAGTTCTTTTGTAACATAGAATAAAATTCTTATTCCTAAATGTAACTACAACCTGATAATTTGATCTTATGATTCTGGCTTATTTGACATAACATTTATCACTTCACATAACAGTTAGGTATTCCACCCACAAAGTTTTTTTTACATATTTACAACAGTATTCAGTTTTTTATTTTTCTTTGAACCTCAAGGCGTACACTGACCCATTCGACCGATTCTTCTATGTTCCTCAAGTTGTTTTTTCACAACACCTCTGGCTTGCCAGTTTATGAATTAACTTTATCTTCAAATTGACAGGTTGAAATTAGAAGGACATTTTTATGTAATTTTGTTTAAAATATATGATAACACGATGCAATTTTTTTCGCATCGCAGAGTGCAAATAATTTTAATATCATAGCTTTGTTCGTTGGGACTGCACTACTTGCACTTACTTGCACTAAGCAGTTTAGTGCAGATGTTGTGCGTTCGTTGGGGATAGTGCAGTTTAGTGCAGTTGCACTCATACTGTTTGTTGGGCCATGTGCAGTGCAATTTAGTGCAGCCGGTGCAAGTTAGTGCAGATTTTGTTGCACCTGCTTTCGATTAAGTTCAATAAGTGCAGTTTAATGCAGTGTAACTAAAATGGCGGAATATTTGAAAGCGTGTTTTGTAATAATTAATATTAAATATTAAGAAATAAAACCTTATAATAATAACACAGTATATTCAATCCCAGTAGAGGCAGTAGAAAACTACGCCTACTTTTTTGGAATAATTTAAAAACTACCCTCTCGATTTTGGCTAACGATAAACCT